GATTTCATATCAACTAGTCACACGAATCTAAATCATATAGTCACGCAATTTCATATTTACTAGTCAAGCGATTTCATCTTAACGATTCACGCAATTCCATATTTACTACTCACGTGATTCAATATCAACTAGTAATGCGATTCCAAATTTAGTAATTGTGTGATTCCATATTAAATACTGGCGTGATTCAATATCAACTGGTCACACGATTCCATACACACCATTCACGCAATTCATATGTCACGTTATGACTATACCCCATCCACGTAATGTCCCCATGGTATCGTCTAGTGCGGGCATTACAGTATCATCTAGTGCAAGCATTGCGTTACATGCCTATGTCATGCAATGCAATTCAACATGTTATATAGGCTATGAAGTCACGGGGTTGGCATATGCAAACTCATGAACTCTGGCATGTAAATTGTATAAAATACTAACAAAATTTAAGATATCAATAAGCCAAAAATAATGCTGTTATTGGACCCGTATGCTTATCACATCAATGAATATCGAGTTGTTCTTATTGCTTTTCTCTTTGTTAAATGATATAAAAAAGAAAAATTTGTAAATGATACAACAAAGAATAATTTGGAGATGATAAAGAATAATGTTATTTTACATATTACGAGAAAGAATGAACAAATTAAAAAAATTAACAAGTCACCCTATTTGCAAAAACCTCAAGGGCAAAACTTTTTCAAATGCTGTCTATGGCGTTTGCCTTCAGGGTATGATCCACTGAGCCGATCAACCACTACAATGAAGCAATAACCCAATCCCTGCAACTATGAGAATCTTACTGTATTGAAGTTTTTACATTTAACTTAAACCTCATCCATGTCAAAGATTGCTTTAGACGACGCGAGTTGACAAAGTACCTAGCCTGCTAGAATATAATGGGAAACAATATTGTGAGTCGACTCATCTATTTATCATGAAAGCTTGACTTCATTGCATCTGTTCTTCTGTACGATGAGTCGACTAACATCATACTCCATTTCAATAAATTGATGTGCACTACCATCTAGTGGTCATCGAAAAAGCACGATGCAAGAATTAAGTCAACCTCGTCCCATGGCAAACCCCACAGAGGACTCCCACCTTTCTCATAATCAAGCACATGGTCTGCTAATACTGCCTTAGTAGCCATGGATGTCTTATCAGCTAGGGGAGGCTTCATTTCTTTGCTCACACCCAGCAAAATAAGCTTTCAATTATGTTACGCACAATAGTTAGATGCCATTAACTAATACACACCTCATAAATTTGAATAATTACAACTCATTAAAATATACCTACATAGAAGTAGCTATCAACAATGCATATTCTCTGCTTGTAGAGTTGTGCACAGTGCTCGTTGATGCATGCATCAATGTGTTGGTTGTCCAACAACTCAATCGGCATTTACAATCGTCAGAAGAAATCAGGGCCCTCTTACCCTTGAATGCCCAGAATGTTAACCCTACCTATATATAATACCCACGTCAAAAGGTCTATGGAATCAATACCCTAGATCCGTTAACCCTAATATCTTGTACTATTATCATTTTACCCGACTTACTCATTTTTCATGAAGGACTCATATCTCTCCTTCAAATAGTCTTTCGCTCTGCGCTGGACTAATAGTAGGTTAACGTATGGGCTTCAAAGGTATTTGTTGGCTAAGCTCACACATGCATCTTTAACTTGAGGTAGAGGCAGAGCCTCAAGAGAAGGTATGATCTCACCATACTAAGGGGTTTCTGGTAGAGTTGGGATAGCAGCAGGACGCAGGGAAGTTGTAGTTCGACTACTCATAAGATAAGATGCCTCTTCAACCTAAGGTGGAGGTAGAGCCTCAAGAGAAGGTGTGCACTGACAATGCTAGGGAGCCTTTGGTGGAGATGGGATAGG